TCTGGCTGTGGCTGCCCCACTTTAATTCACTGCCAAATGTGTGTCACCACCCCCAGAACTGAAACTGGAGGCTGCGCCAGAGCCCAGTGGCCCTGGAGTGCCTGGGGGGGCCAGGTGATCTGCCACCACCACAGCCCGGTGTGTGAGGTGCCAGAACAGAGGACAAGGTGCCCCAAAGCATCACCCAGCTCACCAGCTGCCAGGAGAGAAAGTGAGACTGGAAATTCAGGACAGCCTTTGTGTTTGGACCAGATCACGAGAGACTGGGGCTCCGAGGGGAAAATAAAACCTCTCCTTAGAAATTCTTTTATCCCAGGGAGCTCCCGCGTATCGTGTTTCGGGCCATTTATTTGTGCTGCTGACTGAGGCCAGTGCTGCTGCCCTCCCGCACACAGAGTGGCTGGTGATGAGAATCTGGTGACAAACTCCTCATTTTTCAGAGGAAGACAGAGCAGATGTGTGAGGGTGAAGGACGGCGCCAGCTTATTTCTGTGGAGCCATCCCTGGGAAAAGAAGAGGCAGCAGGGGGCAGATCACGGAGGGGCTGGGAGCAGACGCCCTCTCTGCCTCCCCCTCAAGCAGCAGCAGTGCCTGGGTGACAAGGTGACCCTGGCGGGATGGAAACCCTGCCCTGCAAATTTCCCCTCTTCCTGTGGGGTACCTAGGGGAATGGAGGGGCACTGGGACGGGGCAGGGGTTTGTGCTCAGGGGAGGAGTTTTTCCAGCAGCAGTGTCTGCTTGTAGGTGGCTGCTGCTCTCCATTCCCTGGTCTTTGTGCTGGAATGCCTTGGCTCCCCCTGCCCTGCTCCCATCCAAGAAGCCTTGGCTCAGAGGAAATGATGGGTCTTAGATCAGGGCACCTTCTGCTCCAGCACGCGTTGTTGTAGTTTTTCAGCATCCTTAACGCCTCATTACCCCATTTGGGAGCAGGTAAGCAGAAGGAGAGGCTGCAAACCTCTGCATGGATCCTCTTAGGCCAAGGGGGAAGGTCCTGTTGGGATTGGGGGGCATGGGGCCAAGCCCTGTGATGCTTGCAGGGGGCTGTACCCACATCTGGGTGAGGAGGCCCTGACAGAGGCCGCCAGCTTGGCAGAAAGAGAGCAGGGGAACTGAGACACACGCCTGGCACTTGGGGGACTCCAAGGTGTCCCCTTCAGGCAGGAAGGACCAGAGCAGAGCTACAGAGCTCAGCTGCACAGCACCTGCCCGTCATTGCCTTGGGTGTGCGGGGAGGACGGTGCTGGGCAGGGATCGCCAGTGCCAGCCCGGGAGGGAACGGTCCCAGGAAGGGATACCCAGGAGCCAGCAGGTCCTGGATGCCAGGCACGGGTACTGAGCAGGCTCTAGGGCTGCGGGATGCCGTGCAACCAGAGCGGGCAGGGGTGACCGGCCTGCCCCGGGCTGAGGGCTGGGGTCACCCGTGGGGGTACCCGGGGTGGGGGCGGCAGAATGGGCGAGGTGGGGCTAGGGACGGCGCCACACTCCCCGCATTTGGAGATGCCGTGTCTGGGAGACGGTTTTGGTTTCTCAGCGGAGCCGGAGCTCTCACAAAGCCGCCGACTCGCCGGGGCTCGGCTCCCCGCAGACCCCGCCGCCCCGGGCCGCCCCCCGCCGCGGCAGACAAAGGAGGGACGGCACTTATTTATCCGCCTCCTTCCCGGGACCGGCGGGAGGCTGCTGGGCTGCGGAGGTGCGGCGAGGCACCGGCGGGCGGGCAGGGCGCGGCGGGGCACCGCCTGCACCCCGCAACAAAGGGCCGGAGCAGGAGGTGAGCGGCGGGGGCGGCGCCGGAGCTCGAACCTGCGGCCCGGGGCGGTGGGAGGGGCCGGGGGAGGGCCGTGCGAGGGACGCCCCCCGCGGCGGGCCCAGAACGGGGCCCAGTGGGGGCCGGCCCCGCCCGGTGCCCGCCCCGCCCCGCCCGGCGCTCACGGGCCGGGGCCGCGGCGGCAGTGCGGCCGAGAGATGGCGGGGGGCCGCGGGACCCCGGCGCGGCGCTGAGCCCCGCGCCCTCCCCAGCGCCCGGCCGCCCCGGGACCCCCGCGGAGGTAAGAGCGGCGGCGGAGCGGATGCCCGGCGCGGGGGGCGCCCCGGGAAAACTTTCCGCCGCTCGGAACTCGCGCGTGTGGGTCCCCCCCGCCGCGCGCTGCCGGTGAAGCGGGCAGGTGGGGCTCGGGCTGCTGCCGGCGGTGCGGTGCCGGGACCCCAGCCCCGAGCCGGCGGCGGCGCCGGGTGCGCTGGGGACCCCCGCTCCCCGCCTCGCAGCGGGGTTATACCGAGGCGGGGGGACCCTGCCGGTCCCCCTGCTCCCGGGAGCCGCGGCCGGGCGGGCGTGCCCCGGTCCCGCTCGGGGCGGGGGGACTGTCGCAGGGGACGGGGGCTGGTGGGGAGCCCCCGGGGCACGGGGCTTGCGGCAGGGCTCGGCGGCGAGCGGGTGCCCGGGGAGGGGGTGCCGGCGGAGACACACACGGCGGAGAACGCCCGGCAGCCGGAGCGGGCTGGGCTGGCGGAGCCCGCCCCGGTGGGACGCCGAGCCCCGGCAGGAGCCCGCGCCCCGGCGCGCTGGGGCTGCGCGGAGGGCGCCCGGGCGGGGGGCGCAGGGGACAGCCGGCGCTCCCTGGGGACAGGCCAGGCGTGCCAGAGCGCAAAGTTGTGCAAAGTTATTTCCCGTGTGCGCGGGGCCGCGCTGGGCATTTAGCGTTATTGTATTATGTTATGTTATTTTTTTTTCCCCCTATTTTCCCCCCCTTCCCACTGATGGCATCGCGCGCCGTGGCCGGAGGTGGGCCAGGCTCCCCTCCCGCTGCCTGTCCTGCCTCTACTGCTTTTCCCTCCCAAAATGTTTCCTGCTCTCTCCCGAGGCCACGGGGAGCAGGCGTGGAAGCAGCCCCTACCCCTGGGTCCCCCCGGGCTTCTCCCGAGGCATCCGCTCAGCCCTCTTCGGGGCTTCGATCCCCAAAAGGAGTCCCTGTTCCAGACGAGAAAACCTTTCCCTAATTGCTTGGGCTCGGCGGCGCTGGGCTGACCAGCCTGGGGAAGGGGGGATAAAGCCGAGTGGGATTTTGATCTTCCTGCGGCAGCACAAGCAATGGCCAAACTTTAATTGCTAAAAAACTCCTCCGAGCCCAGACAGCCCGGGGGCTGGAGGGCAGGAATGTGGCCGCTCTCCCCTGGAGTTCTCCGTTTCCCCCGAGTGCAGATGACCCTGGAAATGGACATTTCCTGGCCAAGGTGCACTCCAGCGGCCCGTTTCCCTTTTTTGCTTCCTTGGAATTTGCCTTTCCCAGCCGGGTCTGTGTGCCCCCCACTCACCGCCGGCCCTTTCCCCTCTCCTCGCCCTGCGCTCGCTGCGCTCCCCTCCTCTCCCTCTTTTCCTTTGTTTGCCATCTCGCTCCCTGTCTCTGACGCGTACGCCGCTCCATCCAAATGCAATAGTAGGATTTGCCAGAATTATTTCCTAAAGCTGCCGGGGAGAGGGGGGAGGTTTGGATGGAGGGGGGTTATTTAACTGCAACCAACTGGAGTTTTGGCTGGTGGAGGAAATGGGGGTGCAGGCTGTCCCGGCCTGGCGCTGATGGGAAGGGCAGAGCCTGGGAATGGGTGGGAGAAGAGGGAAGGCAGCCTGAAAAGGGACCGAATACCAGTACAATGGAGCAGAGCTGGGTGTGCTCAGGGACAGAGGAGCAAATTGAAATATTTATTCATCCCAAAGGCAAGAAGGAGAAAAAAAATACACAGCCCCAGGGAGCAGCGGTGCCACCGCACTCGGGGTCTTGCCCTGCTGCTGGTGACAGTGCTGCTGCCCTTGCCCTGCTGGGGGCTGGCGGTGTGGCTGCTGTGCACTGCAGGAGAGGCCAGCCAGACCACCCGGGTGGGGTGTGGGATTGCTCCCCTTGCAGCTCAGCATCTCTCTCAGGGGCGCCCCAAAGGGTTCCCAGCCGTCCGTCCAGCTCTTTGGGTGTGCCTGTCCCCTGCGGGGCTCTGTGGAGGCAGCTGGCAGGGCCCTGGAGGGCACAGCTTCACTGGGGTGTCACGGTGGAGACCCCTGTTCCCACAGAGCTGCCCCCCTTTGGCTGGGCTGGCTGGATGCTCCCCACATGCCTGAGCCCAGCCGGGTGCTGGGGCACAGTGCATCCCACCCCGGCGTGCAGCTCCCTGGGGACACCAGGGGCTTCCCACCACCCAAATCCTGCCTGAGGTGCCCTGCACTCCCCCAGGAGGGTGCTGCCTCGGGAGAGGGGCCTGACCCAGGGGATGGTGTGTCCAGGAGGGGCCGTGGGGTGCGTGGGGGGCACCGTGCCCCGTGCCGGGGTGCGTGTGTGGCTTGCTGGAGGCAGCTTGGTGGACTCCGCTCAGTGCCGGAGCCCCAGGGAGTCCAGCTGCCTGGCACACAGGCAGGGCTTTTTTTTTTTCCCTCTTCTTTTTCTTCCTCTTTTATTTATGAAAAAAAAAATCCTTTTTTTTTTTTTTTTGTACGTTCTTGGAATAATGAAGTCCAGATTTCCTTCATGTTGGAAAGATTTGATCCCAGCTCTGCTTGCTGTGGCTTTGCTGGGGGCTGGGAGGAGAGGTGGGGAGGCAAGGGCTGGCAGTGGGACCCCTTTGGGTGCTGGGGCAGGGAAAGCCAGCCCAGTGGGGGGCTGGGGATGCTGCAGCTGAGGGGGGGAGTGAGGAGGGATGGAGGCATGCTCCTCACCTGGCCAGCTGGGGTGGAGGAGGGTGCTGCAGCAGCTCTTGCCGTGCTTGCCTCGCCCCGCGTGCTCACCAGGGAGGTGAGGCTGTGGCCCCCCCATTTGTGCAGTCTGCAGAGCGGGGTTCAGCCTCCCAGGCTGGCCTCCACTCCTCCCCGGAGGATGCTGCGGGTGATGGAGAGCGGGATGTGGGGCTTGTACCCCTCGGGGGGTGGTGGGTGCAGTGAACTGACCTCCCTCCCACGTGTGCCCTCCTTGGCAGGCTCGGCTCCCCCAGGCTGCCCTCGGTGTCGGCGCCCAGGCGTGCCCACCATGCCCGTGGTCGGAGTCCTGCTCTGGGCCACCCTGCTGACTCTGGGCTGGCGGGCTGCCCATCCCAAAGACCACGGCTTCGCTACCCCCAGGGTGCAGCTCTCCTTCAAAGGTAAGGGTCTGGTTGTTGGACTGGGGGGCAGGGTGGGACCCCAAGGTGGAGGAAACCACAGGCACCCCAGTACAGGCTCCTTCTCCTCCTCCTCCTCTTCCTCCTCGTTTGGGGGGCACCAGCAATCTGCACCCTCAGAAATCTCTACGGGGATCCATATTCAGGTGTGGCTGAGCTCCCAGTCTCCACCAGCACATGGTGCAGTCTTGGGGGGCTGGTAGCCTGCCTAGTCCCCCCAGTCTGCTCCCTGTTGTGGGTGGGTGGCTCCCTCCATCTGGCCAAGCTGGGTGCTGAGGTGCAGCAGCCCCCCCGGCAGCACCCCGGTTCCAGACAGCAGCTTGACGCCGCCCCGACCCCCCCAGCTGGTATTAACGCCTGGGAGCTGGCAGGGAGCCGGGAGAGGCAGCAGGGGAGGGTGCTGGGTGGGGGGAAGGGGCTTAACCCTTTCATTCCGGGGCTGCTTAGCCCACCCAGCCACTCCAGGAGCTGTGGGGGAACCCCTGGGTCAGCTTTGGGGTGCACATTGGCAGAGGGGTTTGTCTTGAGCTCCTGTTTTGAGGTTGCTGAGCAGGGCAGGCTGAGGCTGATGAGGCAGGTCCCAGGGCTGCAAACCTTGAGGAGAGGAATGGAAATTGTTCCTGCTGGGGGCTTGCCTGCTTGGATGTGTGTCAGGAGGTGACAGACACGAGGAGTCTCGTGTCTGCCTCCCCTTGGGGTTTGTGGGAGAGCTGGGGCTGTGCTGCCTGTGCCCTTCCTTTGCTGTCCCACTGTGCCTTTGCCCTCTGGTCACCTACTGAAGGTGTGAGCCCAGGGATGTGGTGGCAGAACTGATGGTGAGCACAGCAGAGCCAGGCAGGAGGGGCCAAGGGGCTGACAGCAAATGCAGTGAAGCAGCAATAGCCATGGGTGTTACAGGCTGGTCTTGACAGAAAAAATGGCTGGTATGAAGAGTCTGGGGACAAGTCCAGGCTGGAAAGCAGTGAGCAAGTTCCTCCCCAGAGGCAGGCGCCACTTTCTTCTCCAAGCAGTGTTTTTGGAGGGTTTTGGGGGCTGCTGGGGCACTTTAGCTGCTGTACAGATGCTTCTCCACCTCAGCTTAAAACACCTCCTCCTCACAGCTGTGGGGAGGGGAGGCTCCAGCAGTCCCAGCTGGACCTGGTGCCCACTGCCACAGTGTGCTCCAGGAGTGAGATTAATTCTGGATAGGCATGGTTAAGCTTGCTGTGCCACAAGTTAGGGGCTGGTTTGGGGTTGGTTTTTTTCAGCCCCAGCTGGTTGGAGCAATGGTTCCTGGCTGTGCTCAGGATCTCCAGTCCTTCTCCCTCCTGCCTGAGGTGGTGTGGCAGGGCTCCCCCTGCTCTCACTGCCTAGAGGGTGGATTTGTGGTGGGAGAAGGGCTGATGTGCACTGGCACATGGAGAAGAAATGCCACTGGTGTGCTGGATCCAAGCACACTGGGGTTGGCAAGGGGTGCCCTTCACCTCTTTCCTGCCTCTACTCTGACAAGGGTGGCAGTGGTGGAGGATTCTCCCAGGGTTTTCCTCGAGGGCCAGCTGGGAGCCACGCACCAAAGTGCTGGTGAGCAGCTTCCTGAGTTGATCTTCTGCATACAGCCTCCCTGAAGCCAGAGAACCATGAGATATGGGGTGACAGTGGCATTTGGTGGATGGTCCAGCCCCTTCTCTTGCCTGTAGAGGCAGGGATGATACCCAAATGCCCAGCCCCAAACCTCCCAGTGCAGACACTGGGGTGGGGTGTGATGGGGCTGGGCTGGGGACATTGCTGTGATGAATTGGGCTGGGCTCTGCTGCCAGGGATGGCTGTGCTGCCACAGGGGACCAGGGGCCGTTTGTGCACCCACAGCTGCTGGGTTGGGCTGCAGGTCTCTAGCACAGCATCCCTCTGGCCAAAGCATCCCAGTGCAGGGGGGGATCAGGGTGGCCTTGTGGCCAGGCTGCTGGGGAAGGAGCAGCCATGTCCCCAGGGGTGTCCCCCGGCGCCGTGGCCGGGTGGCTGTGCTGCCTGGAGCGCTGCCAGCCGCGGGAGCGTCTCTGGGTTTGTTTGCCTTCGCTGTTATCGCGCGCCAGGGGTTTGTTGCAGCTCCCCGGGGCCTGCGTCATCCTCCACGGAGCCCCGGCGTCTGAAAGCAGGAAAAAAATACAGCTGTAAAATACTGAAGTGATAGGAAAGGGGTGGGAGCTGATCTGCAGTGCCCTGGTGCAGGGTCAGTCCTCCCCCCATCCCGTCACCCCCGTGGTCTCTTTACGTCTGTCCTCCTCTCAAGGCTTTCCTGTCCGTGTGTCGGCAGGAGGAAGGTGACCAGCATGGAAAGAACAGTGCTGGGAGCGGCTCCGGCACAGCTCCCTTTTGCCAACAGCTCTTCCCAGATCCCAGCCCAGTGCTGGCCAGAAATAGGGTGGATATTTTTAATCATCTCCGTGCTAACAATCCACTCACTCCCCACACTGCTGTACACATCCTGTGGTCCCCTCTGCTCTGGGCCTTCCTCCGGGCTGGGGGCTCAGGCACCAGAGAGGCTGGCCCATTCCCCACGAGGATGCAGGAGGTGATGGTGATGATGGTGATTCATCCCTCCGTGTCCTGCTCCCTGTCCAGTGTGGGAAAAGCGTGCGGGAAGGAAGGGTGGGCTCTGGCCCCGCATCAGGGCGGGAAGCCCTCGAGGTCAGGGCTCTCCGTGGGGCTTCCAAACGGGAGCTGCTCCTGCAGCGAGGGAACGGCCCTGCTGGCACCTCTCGGAAAAGCTGTGGCTGAGCTCCAGCCGGGGGCAGCCCCGGCAGGGAGGGGTGGGGTGAGAGGCAGGGCAGTTCCTGCAGAGGGGAAAAAAATTACTTTAAAAAGAATGAATTGAGCGTGGAGTCTCCTCTGGGCTCCACTGCCAGCCCCCTGCGTGGCCTCGCTCCTGCCTGCCTCGTGCCTCAGTTTCCCCTCCCACCCCGCTGGCATCTCTGCTGGTGGCCAGGAGATACCGGCACGCTTGATCCGGGCCAGGGGGTGGCAGATGGCTGGAGAGGAGCCCGGACAGGGGACCATGTCCTGGGGGCCACCCAGGCGCCCTCCTAAGCTGCTGCAGCTGTGGGCACTGCTTGGTGACAGCAGGATGGGATAAACAGGGGGGTGTGAGCAGGGCCAAGGGCTTAGGGACAGCCAGTGCTGGGAATGTGCTGGGAACACTGGCACTGTTGGTCTCCACCCTGGCCTGAGTGCCCCATGCTGCTCCTCAGACCCCGTAAAGGTCAGGGGGATGCCACAGTCCCCTTTGCCGTGCCCAAAGGGGCGGGGACATGGGGCTGAACCCTGTGACCCCTAAGAGGATTTCCCTGGCTGGGACAGTGGGGGGCTGTGGCAGAGCCCCTCCACCCGCTGGGACCGGCTGCTGCTGGGGCTGAGCTCCCTGGCTCCGGCTGCGAAGCTCCATAAGCTCCTTAAACCCTCCCTCCCCCAAAAACCCTGCGCAATTTCAGCCCCCCCAAGCCTGTATCTAATAAGCTAGTTATCCCTCAAATTAACAATGCTCCTTATGGAACAGCATGGCCCTTCCCGGGGTCCTGGCAGGGGTGTTCTCCCCACCCCAGAGCTGCTCGGGCACAGAGCAAAGGGCCTGGAGCAGCCGCAGTTTCCACCCGGCACCGTGCCCTCCCCTCGGGGCTGCGGAAAGAAATCACGTCCAAACATTAAACAAAAGAGCCCAAAGAGCAGTGGGTTGGGGCACCTCCGCTCAGCACTTTGCTTTTGGGGTGATTAAACTATTTTCTTCTGAAGCCAGGCTCTTTCCTGAAGGGGATTTCGTGCTGCTGGAGCATCCCCCGACCCAGCCAAGAGCCCGGTCTCCACTGCTCAGTGATGCTCGGTGGGGACGGGGTCCCCCTCGCAGCGCTGCTCCTTGGGGCACAGGCACACACCAGCGCTTGGGGCAGGCTGGCCCGGGGATGAATCAGCGGTTTCCGCTGAAAAAATGTGGGTTTTCTTTTTATTTTTTCAATTGTTTTTTGGCTTGCGCCCAAGAGGGCGGGCTGCGATGGCTGCGGGGAGCACCCGGCCGGCACCTCTTTCATCCCGAGGGATCTGTGCCGGGCGGCTGCAGCACCTGTCTGTCTGTCTGTCCTCTGCCGCGGGTGCCGGCACGGGGCGATGCTCCAGGGGGCTGGAGATGGCCGGGGCTGGAAGGCAGCAAGCGGGAGCAGGAGTTATTTCATCTCCCGAGCCCCTGCAAGGCAGCTTCGGTTTCCTCCCACCTGTGAATCGGTTAAATGGGAAAAGAGCTTGGCTGGGGGCCACGGAAACTCTCTTATTACATGTAATTAGCTTAATTACATCATAAATAACCCATCAAGGGGTAGCGGAGTGACGCTCAAACAAATAAGCAATTCTGCTTTCATCGGACGACCCACCCAGCTCTTTGATCAGCCCCAATAACAACAAATGCTTTAACCACGAGAGGGGACACATCCAGCCCCCTATCCCTCTCCCGGCATCGCTCCCCATCCTGCCCCTCTGACGCATACCCAAAAAGCTGCATCTCAAATTCTGAGTAGGGAAAAAAATTAGTAGGGAACATAATCAAAATTTGGGGCACGCTTTTAAATTTGTGGGATGAAACGCTGCAGGATGGAGATGGGATTTATCCCTGCTGTGCCAGGCTCCCTTGGGATCAGTGCCGGGCTTCTCCATCGGCATTTAAAGTGAATTCATTCTTCCCCATGCAAAGAAAGGGCTCCCGAAAGGCGCTGGCTCCGCCAGCCGGGGTGGGGGGGGTGGGAGTGCGGTTATTGAATATAAACACGCCGTGTAATTTACATGCTAATTATGTTGAATGCGCTACAAGCCCATAATTAGAATCTAATTAGGTGAGAGCGCCTGTAATTGGTTTTGGGGAATGCAGTGATGGTGCACCTGGGGAGGTGACCCGCGCGGGTTGTAATGGCATTAACTCTTCATGCGGGTGCCCTGGTGATGTTCGGGGGAGTCGGGAGGGTTTGGGGGACTGGGGTGGGGTGAGGAGTCCCACGGGTGCGCGGTTCATCGAGAACCCCCAAAATCTCCCTTTTGCTTTGGAGATCAGCGCCGGTCTCCGTGCCAGCGGGTGATGAATAGGGACCACTCACCCCTGCCCGACGGGGGCCAGTGCTGACAGCCAGCGATGGTGGACAGCTGCCGGAGCCGGGAATGCAGCCCGCAATGGGCATTGCAGGGGGAATTTGGCTTTGCAGAGCATGCAGCGGGGCGGTGGTGCCGCGGGCAAAGCAGAGCATCGCGCCTTGCTGCCAGCCCGGGGCTCCTGGCCGCCGGCATCACTCGAGGGCGCGGGGTAATTACAGCTCAGCGCCCCAGGACACGGAGCGATCGCGGGCAGGCGAGTCCCGGGGGGCTCGGTGGGGGCTCCGCGGAATGCTGTGAGGGAACGGTCCCCACGGAGGCCACCCTGGCTGTGATGCCGAGCGGCTCCTGGCTCCGGTGCTCGGCAATTAAAACAGGATTAGGCTCCCGGCCAGCCGGGGAAGCTCTGCCGGTGCTGGGATTGGCAATGGCGAAGCAGGAGGGAATTTGCTCGTTGGGGCGCATCGGCTGGGAGCGGGCTTCTCCAGCCCGGCCGGGGCCCCTGCCCCACTGCATCCCCAGGGACACCCCATGGCTGCGGGGCAGCTCTGGGGGCACAGGGACACTGTGGATTAGGCAGGGCGGTGGCGGTTTGGGAGGTCAGAGGTTGTGGCAGGGTCTTGGCTGCCCCACCATTGTGTTTGGAGAGGGCGTTCCGGGGCAGCGGGTCCGGCACCGCCCTGCTTCGGGAGCGCCCCTCTGATCGCTGGGCCGTGGGGACTCAATGGAGCCACCGGTTGGGGGCCAGGGCCCTTTGTGCTGCTGGCCCTGTCCCCTGCCAAGCCCTGGAGACGCCCATCCGAATGGATGTGGGATACTTAGGGCTGTCACTGACACGGAACCCTCCACCACCCAGTGTCCCGGTGCTCCAGGATCCCGGGGCTGTTGGTGCTGGTGTTCCCAGGCTTGGCAGGGATCACAGATGAGGGGCTGTCCTGGAATGGGGGTTCCTGGTCTCTGCCTGGTCCAGGTGTCTCTGTCCTGTGTGGGAAGCCTGGGCGTGCAGTTCCATCACTGGCAGCTGGGGACGAGCTCTTCTGCTTTGCCTGTGTCACTCAGTGCCAGAGCCACCCTGCCCTTCCCTGGCTCCCGAGCTCTGTGACACCAGCACCACACTGAGGGAGGCACCAGCACACGCCCAGAGTGTGGGACACACACCTGTACATACACACACCCAGAGTGTGGGGCACACACCTGCACACACACACACAGTGTGGGGCACACACCTGCACACACACACACCCAGAGTGTGGGGCACACACCTGCGCACACACACACACACACCTGTACACGCACACCTGTACACACACACAGAGTGTGGGGCACACACCTGTACATACACACACCCAGAGTGTGGGGCACACACCTGTACATACACACACCCAGAGTGTGGGACACACACCTGTACATACACACACCCAGAGTGTGGGGCACACACCTGCACACACACACACACGGTGTGGGGCACACACCTGTACACGCACACCTGTACACACACACAGAGTGTGGGGCACACACCTGTACACACACACACTCGGTATGGGGCACACACCTGTACACACACACACAGTGTGGGGTACACACCTGTACACACACACACACAGAGTGTGGGGCACACACCTGTACACACACACACACACAGAGTGTGGGGCACACACCTGTACACACACACACACACACAGTGTGGGGCACACACCTGTACACACACACACACACAGTGTGGGGCACACACCTGTACACACACACACTCAGTATGGGGCACACACCTGTACACACACAATGTATGGGCCAGTGGGGCAGTTTCAGGCCAGAGGACAGGCAGGGAGCAGCCCCAGAGTGCCATGGCACAGTCAGGGACCAGCACAGGACAGGCTGGGGACACCATGGGTGGCATGTGAGCCAGCGCCAGCAACAGGGAGCATCTGGAGCCCAGATGGGGCAGGCAGGAGGAGGAGCCTGCCGTGGGTGGGTGAGCTGGCCCCCCATCCTTGGCACTGCTCCACTGCACCTCTGCCATGCTTCCCCTGCCTGCAGCCCAAATTCCAGCCCTTGTTCATGCCCACCGTGCTCATCCCGCCGTGCAGCCCTGGCAGGCAGGCAGGCCCCGAGCCCCCAGGCCAGGAGGGGTTCCTGTCACAGCCCATGACGCCGTTCCCACAGCCAGCCCCCACAGTTCCCACTCCATGTGTGTGCTCTGGCCTCACTGCCGCAGCTGAGCGCGTCCAGATCTGCGCTGGGGCAGCACTGGGGACCATCAACAGCTGCCAGCTGTGGGACAGAGGGGCTGTCCTGGATGGGAGGGGACCCTGGGGGCGCCTGTGGGACTTTCCAGTCCCTTGTGCAGCTGGGAGGTCAGGGGATCTGCAGGCACTTGGCCTCGTGCTGGGAATGGAAGCTGGCTGCTGGAGCCCTGCCCGGTGCTGCCTGGGAGCCAGGGTGATGCTTCCTGATGCTGACCTGCAGGACCCTGCTCTGCTCCTCCCCAGGAAGGGTCCCCAGAGCTGCTCCTGGTGCCTCCTGGGACACACTCCACAGGCTGAGGGTGCTCATTGGATCAGTGTATCAGGGATGTGGCACCCGATGGCTGCTGGTGGCATCCAAAGAGGATGACAACGCCAAAGAGTATGGCATCAGGGGCAGATGGCATCCCATGAGGGTGACATCCAATGGCTGAGGATGGCATCTGATTGTTGTGGCATCCAAAGAGGGTGACATCTTTTAAAAACATGGTGTCTCCAAAGAGGTTGGCTTCAGAGGCTGATGGCATCACGTGGAGGTGGCATCCAATGGCTGTTGATGGCATCCTAAGAGAGCAGCACCTCCAAAAAGAAGCATATGGGGAAGATGACATCCCATGGGGATGGCATCTGATGGCTTGGAGTGGTATCCAAAGGGGTGACATCCAGGGCAGATGTCATCCCATGGAGGTGGCATCTGATATTTGGGGGTGGTATCCAAAGGGGGTGACACCTCCAAGGGGAGTGGCACCTCCAAAGAGCAGCATCTCCAAAGAGGTGGCCTCCAGGACAGATTGTATCCTGTTGGGGCAGGATGCTCTGTCTTTCTCGTGCCCTGGCCCCTGCTGCGTGGTTCTTGGCACTGGCCCACATCATCTGCAGCACTTCTGCCTTCCATCTGGCTGCCTCGTTGCACTTGTGAATATTCATGACCCTCATTATCCTCTTTCACTCCTTGCTCCCACACTTAGACTAAAAATAACTTTCCAAGGGGGGATGGGGTGTGCGGGGCGGGGGGGAGGCTCATCACCTCCCCTGGAGCTGGTTCCCTGGGGTCCCAGCTCTCCCATCCTAGGAGCCAGAGGCTTGGCTGGAACATGGGGTCACAGTGCAGGAGGGGGATGATGCTGGAAATGTTGAGAGCTGTGGTCTCTGGGCTGAGGTGACAGAGAGCTCTGGCCTCCTGCCCCATCTCAGTGGCATTCTCCACTCCCTGCCATGGGCTGCTGGATCTCCTGAGCCCGGGTTCTGATGATTTCTCTTCTGGCCACTCTTGGTTGTCACAGCTGGCTGTGAGCATCTCTGTCATTGTCCCTTGTCCCGCATAGAGGTGGCAGGATCATGGTGTTCATGGAGTGGAAAGTGGGCACCTCCTCTCACGGGCTGTCCTCCAGACTTGGACTCAGGGATGACACTGGGGTCCCTGGGGTACTGACACCTTCCCCTTTCCCCTGTAGAGCTGAAGGCCACGGGCACAGCACACTTCTTCAACTTCCTCCTCAACTCCAGCGACTACCGCATCCTGCTGAAGGATGAGGACCACGACCGCATGTACGTGGGCAGCAAGGACTACGTCCTGTCGCTGGACCTGCACGACATCAACCGCGAGCCCCTCATCGTAAGGGCAGGGCAGGGCAGGGGCAGCAGGTGGAAGGGGGTAATGGGGCACTTTGGGGACCTTTTGGGTGCCAGGGCAGGAGCTCGATGGGCATAACTGGTGCTGGTGGGGCCAGGTGGGAGTCCTGGTCTCCCTGGGTTGGTGTTTCCACAGATCCACTGGCCCGCGTCCCAGCAGAGGATCGAGGAGTGCATCCTGTCAGGCAAGAACAGCAATGTGAGTAACCACCATGAACCCCTTTCTGGTAGTGGAGTGGGGCTGGTGCCTGGCACTGGAGTGGGATTCATGTCCCTGTATCCTACTCTGGAAAAGCCCCCCCCCAAGCATGTACAGCTATGTCGAGATGGGGTGGCACTCCAGCGTGTTGCAGTGTCCTGTCACCCATTCTGTTCCAGCCAGGCAGGTCCTGGAGAGCTTTCTGGGCAAGTCAAGGCCAAACTCCCCGTGCTGCTTCCTCCTACCAGCCAGGGCTGAGCCCTCTGGCTTGCCAGCTTGTGGTCCATGCCAGCCTCTGATCCATGCTGTCCCGTGCCACGTGCCATCCAATGACCTGTTCCATCCCATGCCCACACCAACACAGCCCCACAGCAATCTACAGCCCCCGTGCTTGAATTGATGTGTCCTCCTCTGCTTCCCAGGGGGAGTGCGGCAACTTCATCCGCCTGATCCAGCCCTGGAACCGGACACACCTCTACGTGTGCGGCACCGGCGCCTACAACCCCATCTGTGCCTTCGTCAACCGCGGGCGCAAAGCCCAGGTGAGGGGTGGGAGGGATGGGCTGCTGAGCTGGGGTCTGGCACAGGGGTGCTGAGCTGCTGTGTGGCACCAGGGTGCTGAGCTGCTGTGTGGCACGGGGGTGCTGAGCTGCTGTGTGGCACCAGGGTTCTGAGCTGCTGTGTGGCACGGGGGTGCTGAGCTGCTGTGTGGCACCGGGGTGCTGAGCTGCTGGCTGGCACCGGGGTGCTGAGCTGCTGTGTGGCACGGGGGTGCTGAGCTGCTGTGTGGCACGGGGGTGCTGAGCTGCTGGCTGGCACGGGGGTGCTGAGCTGCTGTGTGGCACAGGGGTGCTGAGCTGCTGTGTGGCACGGGGGTGCTGGCACAGCCACCAGGGGACTGCAGTGGGGTGGGTGCTTGGCTCAGCTCTGCTGGCTGCTGGGGGAGGTGAAGGTTGTGGGCGAAGGCAGTCTGGGTGTGACCATGGCTAACAGTGTTGCGCTGCTGAGAGGGGCCAAGCCATCTCCACAGACCAAGGACTTCTCTTAATGCTGGAACTTGGCTGTACTCTGATGGCAGCCTCCACACAACGTGCCCTCCCACCCTGCTGGCTGCAGCCACTGCTGGATCTCCACTGGGACGAGGGACATGTCAACCCAGCTTCCCACTTGAAAGGCTGCCAGGCTCCTGAGCCCCTCACCATAGATTCCAAGGATGCCAGCACCAGTGCTGCACAGGGAGAACCGTGCAGGGATTGTGCCAGCTCGTGTGGCCATATCAGGAACATCCCTGGATGGATGTCACCCAGCACCAAGGACCACAATGTGCAGTGAGAGGGTGGCATCAGAGCTGCATGCCACCAGGCAGGAGGTGTGCAGACAGAGGAGCATTTTCAGGACAGCCTTGGGAGGGAGCTGATCTCTGCAAGTAGCAGCACAAGAATCCCAGGGGTCCCATGCCCTGTGAGGTGTCTGTCCCCTCTGCGCTGGAGTGACAGGTCCCAGGCTGTGTCTTCTCTTGAGGCTGGAGAGGGAGTCAGCAGCCCAAACTGATGGAGGATCACGGCGCTGGATGTGAAAGACAGGCATCTGCCTCAGAGCTCCCAAACCTTGCATGGGCTCTGAGAGAGGGGGATGCTGCTCAGACATCCCAAATTGGGATTGGATTGGGACTGAACTGGGGAGTGGCAGCATATGAGGAGGACCTAGGGTGCCAGTGCAGTTGAGGACAGCAGAGTCAGTGTTGGCCAGCAGAGTCAGTGGCAGTGTGGAAGTGTTCAGTGACCCCGTGAGGCTGATAGCTTTGATGCTGAGGCATTGCTCATCAACACAGGAGGAACAAGGTGGCAGGTGCCATTTATGAGCCCCCAGGTGTGAGCCCAGCCTGGCTGGCTGTGGGCAACCATCTCTCCACTCTCTCCTACCCCATGCTAAGGGCACCCCAGTTCTCTGGGAGAGAGCAGGATCCATCCTGGAGAAGCTCCTGCTGGAGGCCAGCCCAGCCTGGAGCATGAAGGAGCCCAGGGGGACAGCAGTGCTGCTGCTCAATGGGCATCCATCACCCCATCTCTTGGGGTCCCCTGCTCACCCCTGCCCTGGGGGTCCTTCCCCTGCTGGTGCTAACTCTCTGCCCTGCTCCTTTTCCCCAGGGGTTCCCGCCGAGCCAGCCGGGAGGCCGGGAAAGCAGCTCCACCGACAGCCCCCTCAGCCCGAGACCAGCACAGAGCAAGGTGGGAACGGGTCTGGGAGCCCGCCTGGCACAGGGGCATGCCAGAGCCGCGGGCTCCTCCTCCCACTGGCATGCTTTGACCCTGGGCATGGCCGGGCGCCGCCCCCTTCCCTCCCAGCACAGCATCTCCCGGCCCCGGCCTGGCGGCGGCTCTCCTTCTCTCACTAACTCCTTCCTCCCAGCCCATGTAGGATGCCCCCGTGGGGGACACTGTCAGGGATGGTGGCTCTCCACCCACCTCTGGCTTCGCCTACTCCAGGCTTGCTGTGTCCCTTGGAAGTGGGACCGTGTGTCGGCAGAGCCACGGGGCTTGGAATGATTCAGGGGAGGATGCCCAAGTCATGTGCAGAAGGTGTTTGGGTAGGGCCTACAGAAACATTACTAAGAGCTGCTTCACCTTGCCCCAAGAGGGGCTTAGGTCATCCTGGCAGTCAAGGGCACTCAGGGAGGTGACAGCATCCCGGCTCCTGGGAGCACCCAGTGTGCAGCCCACCCTGACAGTGTCACCCCCAGCCTCTCCCCTCCGGACTAACATGGGTCAGTGCATGGGCTGGGGAGCATGGAGGACATGGGCACCCTGGTGCAGCCTGGGGCTCCCCCAGCTCCTCAGGTGGCTGGGGGCAAAGGGTGATGCTTGGCAGTGAGCATCTCCCAGACTGGGCAGCCCCTGCTGCCATTTTCCCCAGTGCCAGCTGGGAAAAGGCCATTGCCATTTAGCCCCCTCAGGTCCCCCCTGCTGGGCAGAGGGTGTGTGTCCCAGCAGGAGCTCCCTGGGGCTGCCAGCATGTGCTTCCTGGCAGCTCTGGTGCATTTCAAGGTGTGTTAGCTGATCAGCAGTACCAGCCCCACAATGGCTCCTGTGTTGCCTGACCGGGAGGGTGGGATGGTGCAGCCAGTACCAGGGCTGTGCTGGAGAGAGAGAGGTTGTCCATGTGAGGTGTTTGCCCACTTCAGGAGCGGGGCCAGCGTTGTGCAGAGGCGTTTGTGATGGTGATGGTGGCACAGTCAGCACAGTGCAGTGATGCAGATGGTGAAACGTGGCTGTGCCCATCTCTGGGCCTGGGTGCCCCAGGAGGAGCTGGTGTGAGCAAACCTTCCAGTGGGAGATGCCCACGGTGGGATCCCAGCTCCCCATCCTCTCTTGTTCTTCCCAGAGCCTGGGCTCCACCAGGACCCTGCTGGCCTCTCAGTGGAGGGTGGCTGTCACCATGTCTATCACCCATGTGCCAAAGCCAGGGCACAGGGCCAGTGGGCATCTGCCCAATTTGGTTGCTTAAGGTCCCTGCCCAGGCTCCCCATGGGTGCTCTGTGCTCCTGCTTTGTCCCAGCTGAAGGTGATCCCTCTGCCAGGGTGAGGAGTGACCTGGCTGGGCCAGCCTGTCCCTGTGTGCCCCCAGCCAGCCCTGGCAGAGGGTTTTGGATGTGCCTCCAGAGGCAGCGTGGGTCTCACTCCTGGCTGGGAATGTGTGATGGTGCCAGGGATGGCCACGGGAAGGCAGAAGCGACAGTAGGGAGGCATCCCATGGAGCAGACATATCATCTCACCACGTGAAGAAAAGCACTGGAAAATGGCCCCTGGCGAGAGAAGTGCAGTGGGTCCCACAGCCAAGCTGTGCTGAGCTGTGCTGCAGGCCAGACCCTGCCTGCTGAAGCTGCTGGAACTCTGTGACCTTGCTGGGCAAGCGGCAATGTGCAGCACAGCCAGCTGGAGTGAAGAGGCAAGGGATGTTTTTCCAGACCTGGGGGATGGATGCCCCACTTCAGCCTGATGGCTCAGCCAAGTCTCCAAGTGGTGAAGGGCATGGAGAAGAACCCAGCACCTTGGAGGAGTGTCTCACAGGAGCTTCAGCTTCTTGGGAGACCTACAGACACCTTCCACATCTGTCCTCGCTGCTGTGCACCGTCCTGGAGGAGGCTGCCTCTCCTGGGGGGCTCTGGGAGCTGTCACATGAGTGGAGGGGTGAAAGTCTAACCAGCTGCTCTATTTGCTTCCTTCTCCAGGATTATATCTTCTACCTGGAGCCAGACAAGCTGGAGTCGGGCAAGGGGAAATGTTCCTACGACCCCAAAGTAGACACTGTCTCTGCATTAATAAGTGAGTCCTGTGGCTCCCTGGAGCCAGTGCTTCCTGCTCTGGGCAGAGGGAATATGCAGGCGGGATGGAACAGCTGCTCCCACCAGGAGCAGGGTTCCTGCTCCACCACCCCTGCCTGCCTCAGCTGGCCAGGCACCTGGCCCAGCAGAGGAGGGGATTGTGGTTACAGACCAGTGCCAACCTCCAGAACTCTCTGGGATGGTCACAGGCAGTGGCTCTTGGTTGCCTGGCAGCTACTGGCCAGGTCTGGGGCTGGCAATTGAAGAAGGTGGGTGGATGGGATGAGGTGGGGATTCCTGGCTGACCTCTGCCCTCTGCAGATGAAGAGCTTTATGCTGGTGTGTACATCGACTTCATGGGCACAGATGCAGCCATCTTCCGCACCATGGGCAAGCAGACAGCCATGAGGACAGACCAGTACAACTCCCGCTGGCTCAACGGTGAGTGCAGGTGACACTGGCCCAGGTGCCCTGGGGACCTCAGGGCTCCAGGCCTAGAGATGAGACCTGTCATGTGGGACTGACTCCTTCTCCAGAACAGACAGCAGCCAGCATGGGCGGGTGGGTGATGGATGGATGGATGGATGAATTGATCATGGGTGGGTTGGTGGATTGATGATGGATAGATGAATTGATGATGGATAGATGGATGATAAATGAATTGTACATGGATGGGTGGACTGATGATGGATAGATGGATTGGTGGATGGATGGATGGATGAATTGATCATGGATGGGTGGGTTGATGATGGATGGATGGATGGATGGATGGATGGATGGATGGATGGATGGATGGGCGGGCGGGAAGGCACAAGAGCAGGGATAGCTGTGTGGGGCAGTGACAGACATGCCTGGAGCTTTGCTGGGTGGAGGGAGCAGACTGGTGAGAGATGGGGCTGGCCCTGTCAGTGTCAGTGCATGGGTTTGTGCAGCGCTGAGATGTCACCCGTGTCGCCTGCAGTCAGTGACCCCGAACGTTCATTCTGCCCCCTCGGAGCACCCCTGCCTGCGGGGCAGCAGCTGAGTAAACACAGCAGAGCAGATGGGATGATCCTGCCAGGCTGGGGAGCCAGCGGGGTGGTAACCTGAAGAGGGGGAGCTGTCAGCACAGGCCGGGCATGGGCTGATGGATGGCAGGGAGAAGCTTCCTGAGAAGCTTCCATGCTGTGTGGTTCCTTCCTGGAGAAGACTGGTTCCCACCACCTCGCTCATAGAGCTGATGTATCTCTTCAGCCTGTGGACCTCAGGAATGCTCCCAGGGGCCCCATAGATGCTTCAAGCCTCTCCTGGTGCGTTAGAGATCACAAGAGACACTCAGAGATGTAGCTCTCACTTTGTGACTGCTTTTCCAGGAGTGAGGTGATGCTTCAGCAGAGGGGGGCTCATCATCGTGCTATGGCATGGAGCAGGGGTGCCACTGGGCTGATGGTGCCATGCTGTGCTATGCCATTCCAGACCCAGCCTTTGTCCGTGCCCAGCTCATCCCTGACAGCAGCGAGAGGAATGATGACAAGCTCTACTTCTTCTTCCGAGAGAAGTCGGCTGATGCCCCGCTGAGCCCTGGGGTCTATTCCCGCATCGGGCGCATCTGCCTGGTAGGTGTAGCAGAGGAGAGGCAGGGAAGCAGGCCAGGAGGTGGGCAGGGGGAGAGGCAGGGCTCAGCACAGGGGCCTCACTGTTGCAGAATGACGACGGGGGCCACTGCTGCCTTGTGAACAAGTGGAGCACCTTCCTGAAGGCCCGGCTGGTCTGCTCTGTGCCGGGACCCGATGGAATTGAAACGCACTTCGATGAGCTCCGTGAGTGTGCCAGGAAAGGGATGGGAGCCTTCTCTACCCCTGCAGGCTTGGGGGGCACCCTGGGCAGAGCTGGGAACACCCCTGCTGCCCCCTGCCTCTTGCTCTTCCATGGGTAACTGCTCTGCCTGTACCCTGGTGTCCCTGCCTACCTTCCCTATGGTGACGCCTCCATCTTTCTGTCCCAAGAGGACGTCTTCATCCAGCAGACTCAAGACACCAAGAACCCTGTTATCTACGCTGTGTTCTCTGCTTCGGGGTGAGTGCTGACTCTCCTGGCCCAGTGCAGGAGAGGAGGGGGGTCTCAGCTGGGTGGCTGTCCTGTCAATGCCATGACAAAGAGTGGCAGCAGGTCCTTGCCCCCAGGTCAGTCTTCAAAGGCTCTGCTGTGTGTGTCTACTCAATGGCTGACATCCGCATGGTCTTCAATGGGCCCTTTGCCCACAAGGAGGGACCCAACTACCAGTGGATGCCCTACACAGGAAAGATGCCCTACCCCCGCCCAGGCACCGTAAGTACCGCCCAGGGACCACAGACAGGTGAGCCAGTGCCTGCCAGGCAGCCAGCACCCTCTGACCTGTGCTCGGGCACCACCTCACTGAGTCCCGGTGATGTTTGTGCCACAGTGCCCTGGGGGGACCTTCACCCCATCCATGAAGTCGACCAAGGACTACCCCGACGAGGTGATCAACTTCATGCGCGCGCACCCGCTGATGTTCCACGCCGTGTACCCCACACACCGCCGGCCGCTGGTGCTGCGCACCAACGTCAACTACCGCTTCACCACCGTGGCCGTGGACCAGGTGGACGCGGCAGACGGGCGCTATGAGGTGCTTTTCCTGGGCACAGGTACCCACGCCGCGCACCGCGGGAACGCAGCATGCTCCGCCGCGGCCCCGGAGGGCACGGGCACCGCCAGGGCTGGCCAGAGCACGGTGCCCTCCATCGCTAGGGCGGGGTGCGGGGCTGAGAATGCCCCCCTGAGAGCCCTGCCCCTCCTCCAGGCTCCAGACTGGTCTTTCCCTGGCCCGATGCCATCCCACAGACCCTACTGTCCTGCCTGGTCCTTCCCTTAGCCCAGCTCCTCTCCCTGAAGCCGGTGATCCAGCATGATCTTCCCATCCTCGGGATTCTGCCGTGCAGCCTGGTCTTCCCTCTGTCCTGGTGCCTGTTCCAGAGGCCTCATCATCCAGCCTTATCCTTTCCTGACTTTAGCACCCACCCATTTCTGTTGCCCATGTTAAGCCTGTCATCATCCAGGCTTGCGCCTTTCCTGCCCAGTTGCCCATCCCAGAGGCACTGACATACAGCCCTGTCCTTCCCAGACCTCAATGCCCATCCTAGGGCCACTGCCATCCAGGCCAGTGCCTCCCCTGCATCCCAGAGCACCCATGATCCATCCTGGTCCTTCTCTTGCCCTGGTGCATGTCTGCATGCTGCACTGGGCACTCTCTGGCACTCTGGTGGCACTCTCTAGACACAGCTGGTTACCTGAGCTGGCACACTCCACCCCAGACATAGCTAGCTGCCACAGCAGGAGAGAGATGGGGATGGGCCTAGGGGATCCTTCCTTTCCACAGGCCCAGCAGGGACACCCTTCACAGACAGGGAGGGCATGGGTGCCCAGGGTAGCACTGAGCACCTGGGCACTATGGTGTCTTGCAGATCGGGGCACCGTGCAGAAGGTCATTGTGCTCCCCCGGGATGACATGGAGACAGAGGAGCTCATGCTGGAGGAGATTGAAGTGTTCAAGGTAAGGGCTGGCATGTCCTCCACCCTCTGCTGAGTGTTCTTGACCCAGCCAACCAACCCCTTGGGACACCATCCAGCCCCTTGAGTTACCAGTCACTCCCTGGGACAGCAGCCAGCCCCTTGGGACACTAGCCAGTCCCTTGGGATACTAACTACCTCTTGGCCAGCTCTGGAGGGACTCCAGGCTTTAGTCCTCCTGCTTGCTGCCCGCTCACATCTCCCCCTGCCTGCTCTGCCTGCTTCAGCTGCCTGTGGGGGGGTCTGGGGTGCCCACTCCAGGGCTGCAGCGTCAGTCCAAGCAGTCATCCCTCCATTCTTCATTCCTGCTCTCATCCAGGTGCCAGCCCCCATCAAGACGATGACCATCTCCTCCAAGAGGGTGAGTCATAGCAGAGGCTGGGTGGGCAGATCCCATCCTGGTCCCAGGGTGGCATTGCCCAGCGTCACCACAGCACCTGAGCAAGGTGTTTGCAGGGGCCCTAATGTAGTGGGGATGAGGTAGGATCTCAGCCTGTCCTCCTTGTTCCCAACAGCAACAGCTGTATGTGTCCTCGGCCGTAGGCGTGACGCACCTGGCGCTGCACCGCTGTGACGTGTATGGGGAAGCCTGTGCTGACTGCTGCCTGGCCCGGGACCCCTACTGTGCCTGGGATGGCAGCGCCTGCACCCGCTACTCCGCCTCCTCCAAGAGGTACAGCATGGCCAGGGAGGGTAGGGAGGCACCCCCAGCCACAGGCTGCCCCTCTCAGCTCCCGCTTCCCCGCAGGCGCAGCCGGCGGCAGGACGTGCGGCACGGCAACCCCATCCGGCAGTGCCGCGGCTACAACTCCAACGGTGAGCGGGGCTGGGGCAAGGCTCCAGCATGGGACACCTGGGAGGGGAGGCTGAGGGCACAGGGTGAGCTGGGGACACACAGGTTCCTTGGCGGGGGGATGGTTTTGTGGGTGGATGTAGGGGAAGATACATGGATGAATGGGTGAGTGGTGGATGAGTGGGTAGTTGTAGGGAGGAAGATGAACATTGATGAGTGGATACATTGGTAATGAGAATAAGCACAGATGAATGGGTTGGTTCATGGATGGGTGAACGGGATGGATGGATGGATACATTGGGAAGTAGGTTGAACATGGATGGATAGATGGATACACTGGGGATGGATGGATGGATGGATGGATGGATGGATGGATATGTTGGGGAGGAGATTGAACATACATGGATGGATGGATGGATGGATGGATGGACGGACACCCACCCTTGGAGACAGAGGGGGCAGGGCAGAAGTGCAGTAGGGTGGGGGTGACCTGGCTGCCCATGGCCCCCCTGCAGCTAACAAGAACACGGTGGAGGCCGTGCAGTATGGGGTGGAGGGCAGCACAGCCTTCCTGGAGTGCCAGCCCCGCTCGCCCCAGGCCAGCATCAAGTGGCTGCTGCAGAAGGACAACAGCGACCGGCGGAAGGAGGTAGGGCAGGGCAGGGCAGCGCTGGCGGCGCGGGGTGCTGGGTGCCAGCGCTGAGCCGTGCCCCCTGTGCCCCCAGCTGTGTGGGGTGCTGGGTGCCAGCACTGAGCCGTGCCCCCTGTGCCCCCAGGTGCGCGTGGAGGGCCGGGTGCTGCGCACGGAGCAGGGCCTGCTGCTGCGCGCCCTGCAGCTCAGCGACAGCGGCCTCTACTCCTGCACCGCCACCGAGAACAACTTCAAGCACACGGTGACCAGGGTGCAGCTCCGCGTCCTCAGCAGCCGCGCCGTGCACACCGTGCTGGTCCAGGCAGAGACCCCGGTCCCCGGCCTGCCGGGTGCCCCCACTCCCCGCTACCAGGACCTGCTGCAGCTCCTCAGCCAGCCCGAAATGGGACTCCTGGACCAGTACTGCCAGGGCTACTGGAGGCACACGGCCGCCAGCCCCCCGCAGCCGCTGGCTGGCCTCAAAGCCAAGGAGCAGCAGGAGCAGAAGAAGCCTCGGAACCGCCGGAATCACCAGCCAGAGACCTATGGGCATACATGAAACCATCATCAGGGACTTTGCTAGCACAGTGGTCTATTTTTCCCCCCTTTTAATATTAAAAATATCTATAAATAAATATATATATATATATATATATATACATCCACGCACGCACACACACGCAGCCACACGCGCTCCCCCCTCCCACGAGAGGTGGTATTTATTTGTAGGCTGTACTTAGGCACTGGAGTGGTGCTGCCCCCACCTCCCCGCTCCAGGGAGGAGCAGGGACCCCTGAGGAGGAGCAGGGACCCCTGAGGTGGCTGCAGCCACCATCACTGTCTTCCCCCCTGCCAAGGACCCCCAGATCCTGTTGTGCAGGGGCCGTGGGTCACCACAGCCCCTCTCCCACACAGCTGGGACACCATGCTGGGGGATGGATGTCCTTGTGTGGGAGGGGAAGATGCCCTGGGGAGGGCAGGGTGTGAGGCAGTGCCAGACAAGGGCTGCCCACTGCAAGCTGGGCATGACCATCACAGTTTTGTGCCTCAGTTTCCCCACAGGGTTATGGAGGAGCAAGTGCTTTCTGTGGGGGAGCTGTAGACCACCAAGCAAGCTGAGGAGAAGGGGCAAGGGTACACGGCTCTGTCCCCTCCCTGGGGGCTTGGCAGGCGTGAGATGGGACCTCGAGGTGGGATCGAGGTGTCCAGGCAATAGTGGGGGCTTGGCCCCAGGGTCGTTGGATGGAGAAGGGAAGGAGAAGGGCCCACGCTGGTGTAAAACCTTGAGCAGCTGCTGGAGCTTGGTGACAGTGGCACCCAGAGGTGTTTGGGGCACCCAGCCCATCAGTCACCCTCTTTGGGCACCCCGGTGGGTGTGGAGGGCTGTAAATAGCTGTCCATGGGAACACAGGGGTGGCCAGGGCTCAGTGTCCCTGCTGCCAGGGGTACCCCCAAATAAACGCTGGCTCTGGGACAGACGCGGGCGCCTGGTGTGCTCTGTAGGGGATGGGCCTGGCCCCACCACGGCATCCCCTGAGCCCTGCCAGGGCTGCCCCTGGGGCTCTGGGTCACTGTGCTGGGGACAGCACAGGGGCTGTGAGGAGGTGCCACTGCTGGGTGGCACTGCTGAGTGTTGGGGTACACTGGGCTGGGCTGGTGCCACCACTGGGTGTTGCTGAAGGCACTGGGAGCACTCAGGGTCACTGCTGGGGGCATGGGGAAGTGCTGGGGGCCCTGAGGAAAGTTCTGGAGCACCAGGATATGGTACTGGGAGCTGCTACTGGCAGCATGGAGCAGGGGAGAAACTTAGCAGAGGGCACTGAGGGTGGTAGTGGATGATACTGGGAGCACCTTGATTGATACAGGGGTGGTACCAAGCTCCTCTGAGTAGTTCCAGGAGGACTGGGGGCAGTTCTGAAAGGTCCTGGGCTGTGTTGGAGGTAGCACTGTGCACACTGGAGGTTGGTACTGGGAGGACTAGGAGAAGTACTGAGGCATTAGGGTGGTACTGGGGAGTACTGGGAGCAGTGGTGGGGAAGTGGTGATGGTTCTATAGGGTGGCTGGGGGTTGTAGTGGGCAGTACTGGGCTGTGGCAGGGCACTCTGTTCAGTACTGGGGCAATGGTGCTGTGCTCCTCTGGCCAGTCCTGAGAGGCTCTGCTGTACGTACTGGGGGTGCTGGGGCTATGCTGGGGTCAGTACTGGGCAAACTGGTGGGGTGCAGAGCTGTACTGGGGCTGGTGCAATGCTGAACTGGGAGCACTGGGCTGTGCTGGGAGCACTGGGCTGTGCTGGGAGCACTGGGCTGTACTGGGATCTGCACTGGGCTGTACTGGGAGCTGCACTGGGCTGTACTGGGAGCTGCACTGGGCTGTGCTGGGAGCTGCACTGGGCTGTACTGGGAGCACTGGGCTGTACTGGGAGCTACACTGGGCTGTACTGGGAGCTGCACTGGGCTGTACTGGGATCTGCACTGGGCTGTACTGGGAGCTGCACTGGGCTGTGCTGGGAGCTGCACTGGGCTGTACTGGGAGCACTGGGCTGTACTGGGAGCTACACTGGGCTGTACTGGGAGCTGCACTGGGCTGTGCTGGGAGCTGCGCTGGGCGCTCCCGCCCTCTGGCGGCCGAGCGGGGCACTGCAGGAGAGCCGCCGTGCGGGGTCGGGGCGCGCTGGGGACAAAGGGGGGACAGAGGGGAACTGGGCTGTACTGGGGTCACTGGGGCAGCCCTGGCAAGGCCTGGAGCCACCGGAGGTGGGGGAACACCGGGGAGTTACTGCGGTGTTCCTTGGGATACTCAGTTTTGCTGTGGTGGCCACATGGTGGTGGCAATGGGGGGCCCGGTGGCGCTGGGGACGTAAGAGGGGGGCACTGGGAAGGCACACTGAGGGACCCAGAGACATTGGGGGGCCTCACTGAGTTTGGAGTGGTAACACAGAGGTGGCACTGCAGTGTCCCTGGGCGTTGGACAGGGTTTTTTTGGACTGGGGTGGGACATGGTCCCCACACAGGAACTGGAATTGCTTGGGAACACTGGGATTTCTTCCATAGTCACTGGGAAGTGTTACTGGAGAGGGTTTGGGAACCCTGTGGAGGGTATGCGGGTATCCCTGAGAACATGGTGCAGGTGTTGCTGGAGGGCCTGGGGACGCTGTGCAGGTGACACTGAGCTGGCCTGGTGGCACTGGGACTGTACAGCTGGGTGGCTGGGCAGGCTCACTAAGAAGTGCACCCAGAGGGCATGGGGACATTAGTGGAGGGTTCTGGGAGGGTCCCTGGGGACACAGGGTGCGGTGATGGAGGCTGGCATTCTATCACTGTGGGAAGTGCCCATGGGGACACTGGCATGGCTTAACTGGGGTGGGACAGTGGGCACTGCTCCAGAGGGGGGGTTTGACCAGGTGAGATGGGGACAGTGGGGACATTAGCTCCCACTCTGACCCACTCCCAGCAGACACACCATCCCACCCTGCAATTCCAAACCCCTGGGGTCCACACCAGAGCTGGAGATGGGCAGGGGTCCCACTTTCCCCAGGGTGGCCGGGTCACTGCCCCAGCCCCCGGGTGGAGGCAAAGCTGGGGCTGGTGAGGCCGGGGCACCCTCCCGGCAGAAGTGCTGACTCCGGGAACCTCGGGATTGCTGAGCTCAGCCCGCTGCAGATTGCAGGGGGTTTATCGGGGGGGCCCAGCTTAAGCCCCGGGTGCTGAGCGCAGCCCCCCGGCAGGCGGCCCCGCGGGACCTTGGCCCCGTCCTTGTCGCACACGGGCGGGCGGCGGTGGCAGCGGCGGCGGCGGGCGCGGGAGCGAGCGCTGGAGGCGGCGGGAGGCTGGAGCTCGCTGCCCATCCTGGTGCTGACCTCCAAGGAGCGGGTGCTGAACCGCAGGGCTGCGGGGCTGACCATGGGAGCCGGCGCCAGTGCCGAGGAGAAGCATTCCCGGGAGCTGGAGAAGAAGCTCAAGGAAGATGCTGAGAAGGATGCCAGGACCGTCAAACTGCTGCTGCTGGGTAAGGGGGACACAGCACCCCGGGGGACGTACCCATCCCTTGAGCACCTCACCCTAACAGCCCACCCAATGCATCCCGGAAACCTACCAGTGCCCCTGAACCCAACCAGCACCCCTCAACCCAACCAGCACCCCTCAACCCAACCATCACACCCCAACCCAACCATCACCCCTCAACCCAACCATCACACCCCAACCCAACCAGCATCCCCAACCCAACCATCACACCCCAACCCAACCATCACACCCCAACCCAACCAGCACCCCCAACCCAACCATCACCCCCCAACCCAACCAGCATCCCCAACCCAACCATCACCCCTCAACCCAACCATCACCCCTCAACCCAACCAGCATCCCCAACCCAACCATCACCCCCGAACCCAACCATCACCCCCCCAATCCAACCATCACCCCCCAACTCAACCATCATCCCCCAACCCAACCAGCACCCCTCAACCCAACCATCACCCCTCAACCCAACCAGCACCCCCCAACCCAACCATTACCCCCAACCCAACCAGCACCCCTCAACCCAACCATTACCCCCCAACCCAACCATCAGCCCTCAATCCAACCATTACCCCCAAACCCAACCATCACCCCTCAACCCAACCAGCACACCCCACAACTGCCCCCAAACTCCACCAGCCAATCCAACATTCCTCTGGCCCCCAAATGGACCCGCAAACCCAAGCAGCCCACCCTCACAGTCCGTTCAACTTTCTCCTGACTCACCCAGGACCCTTAAAACCAAGCAGCCCACCCCAACATCAACCCCATTCCCAGCAGCACTAAACCAAACCTCCCCTTCTCAAGAGCCCACCCAATGTTTCCCTGATGCCTCCAGCACCTTTAAACCAAACCAGCACAACCCAGGAGTGTCCCCAACAGCCTCCCACTCCCAGGCATCCCTAAAAACAACCAACCCCTCCCCATAAAACACCCAAAGTTTCCCTGGCCCCACTCTAAACCAAATCAATTCAACAGTCCCCAGCCCCCTGCTCCTAAGCACCCCTAAACCCAGTCAGCCCACTCTAACAGTCTTCTGACCCTCAAAGCACCCCTAAAGCCAACCAGTCAAACCAAAAAGCCCATTCAATGTTTCCTTTCTCCCTCGGCACCCTTAAACCCAACCAGACACCCCAACAGTCCCCCCATTCCCAGGATCCCCTAAACCAGCTCATCCCAACTTGCTCAGCACACCTTACCAGGCACCCCAAACACAACAGACCATCTCAACAAGAAGATTAGATCCTGAGATCCTAGGTCCTAAGATTTACCCAATGATCCCCTGGCTTCCATATATCCCTCAACCCAACCAGCCCACCTAACATCCCCCCTCTCCCAGGTTCCCCAGCCACAACCAAACCACCTTAAGAGCCTTCACCCACACAACCTATCACCACCCCAGCCCATCAGCATCCCTGCCCCAATGCTCCTAGGGACCCCATGCAGCCCGTTCCACCACCCCATGCCTGTCCCTGGAGCCCCCTTGTGCTGTGTGTCCCTCCCAGTCCTTCCCAGTCTCCCAGTAGTGCCTGAGGATGGGGTGCTGTGTATGTGGTGGGGCCGTGGGTGGCATCACTCTCCTCACAGCCTGGTCCAGGACACATCTGCCTG